TATGTATCGAGCGTAAAACACTCGAGAAATAAGAAGATCAGGGGAAAACTCCAAGCTCCACTTTCAGTAACGGACATTCCGAAATTTCCAAGAGCACATTTCTACGATACATTTTTTGATTGATCTCACCTCAAGTCCAATGATTAAGCTCGGGACGGTATTTCTTGTGAAGAAAGATTGATCGATCTCGATCCGTTCCACCCATCCACTGGTGACAAGCACACCAGCGTGGCCACGGTTCTGATCGGTGACGCTCACGTTTTGGAGTAAAACCGATTTCAGTGGCAGCAGAGGGAATTCGACAATGTGAATCGAATAGGATGAGCCATTCGTCACCTAAAAAGCGGGTTTTCCTCTCAAAATGTCTAGGGGCGAAACTGTTGGTGAAGCTTACTGAAACGTTCTCGATTCGAATGTCTTCAGCTGGTGATATGAAATCTATACCGGAACCCCAGCCGTCTCGGATTGCAACATTTCTGAAAATCAGCAGTCAACCACTTGGAAAAGGTCTGAGTCTGTCGTGCTATAACTGTACGGTTAACTGTCATGACATCCAAAGCCGCATGACAGCAGATTCGAATTAGACAATAGTTTGCGCATTAGTCTCGGAAAAGTCTTAAAAAAAGCAATACCTACCATTAGTGAATTTTGTAACAAAAAATTCAATTCGTGGAAGGTTGTTCATTAAGCCTCAATTTTTGAATCACTCAGCAGTGACGACTATGCACAACCATGTTCCCGGCCGTAAAAACAAAGTTAACGCATTGACGACCACCGTAATGCTTGTGCTGTGAGACTATTTTAAATACTCCTTCACCTTTACGACTGTAAACCCTTCAACAATTTCGTTATCGGTTATAATCTTCTTCAGAACCGATAGAATTCCTCGTGAGAAGTGGCCCGCCAGCGAGCCAGTCATTGGGTCAAAACAGCCGGATGTATTGGAAAACTTGTGCATCAAAGTGCCCTTCCAATTTGGTTGTGGATAATACTGCCATTAATACCGCTGTTAAAATGTAGGTTTGTACGCACAGTTCTCCTCCGAAGTAATGAACTTCCCACCTTATGGCTATGGATCCTTTCCTCTCATCAACACCAATTCCTGAGCCTTTTGGTCGCTCAATGACGGAGTTGCCAAGGTCAACGTCTGACGGCGCGTTTGCTGTTATTTCGACACCGTGTACCTGAAATGCTGGGTTGCTAACGTCCACTTTCAGAGATTTTGGAAAGTGCACTGAGTGAGTGTGCAGCTGCAAGGCGGCTGTCAGGTGTACCAATAGTAAAGAAGATTCCTGAAGGAGATATGAAGAAAAAATGGCACCGACAATTATGAGACAGTCATGAGGCCTTTTTCGTAGTGCAAAGTGCTCTCGTCATCGTACTCAGAAAACCTATCCATGCCCACGGTAACCTCCCGATGTGATCTCACTAACCCTTCGTCTTAAGGTCAGAAAAATCTATTCTAGCAGATATTGCGTGCTAGAACGGTCCAATCCAAGAGGGATGCACGCTCGTATTCGGTGGCAAAAAGGCCTAATGGCATACACTCAACTGCTAACGGAGATATATGTTGTTCATTCTTGTTATAGGTCTCCAACTGAAGCATGAATTACGGTATCAGGGCAAGGAGCTCTACCCCTGCAACCCACATTTTTTGGAGCAAAAAGTAAGACCTCACCACTGAATCCACGATTCTAGCATTTTCCACCTGCACTTTTTCAGAATCTATCCACAACCCGATCTCGATGCTACTGATTATTATCGCGTGGTCAGTAACTATGAGTGCCACCTAAACGTGCATCACATAAAGCGATGGTGGACCAGAAATGCACAACAATGCTTCATACTGTAACTGTGTCATAGTACCTGACAGGAGGCCCATCGCGCGACGGCGAGACGAGAGACGTAGACGGGAGCGATGTGGGACGTATATAGCACATCTCATTTAACTTAACGCGAAACCGCCACGGTCCTCACTGCGACTAGTCCGCTGACTTGTCTACATCTCTGTCTACACGCCGTGTGACGGGCCTCCTGTCGGGTACCCACGAACCACTGATTTTTAGACTAAAGTGAGTAGCAGCTTTCAAATGACCTACCGGGTTTGACCACTAATCCTCGCCACGTCGACTCACCAAACAGCCGAATCGGACGGTCTGCTGTACCGTTAAGGTAGAGTTTGCCTGTAAAAGCAGAACTGTATGCTGTATACTATTCATTTTGTTGCTTTATAAACTTATTGCTCGCATAATCAATTTCTCAATTTTCTCCATTGCTTAGAGTTTACTCGCTTGCTAACGCTCTTTTCCTACGGCCGAGCTCTCCGTAATTGCACACTAAGCTGCGGAGTGGCGAACGCCTCAAAAAATCGATATCATGTGTGCTTCTGGTGCTCAGGGCACTATCGGTACTGCGCGATTCATGACCGAAATGAAGTGAAGTATACAGAGGACAAAGAACATTTACCTTATGGTGGAACTAAGTACGCAATCACGACAGGCCCGGCTACGGGAAACAGAGTGCTCATACTCACGTAGAATTGAGAAGAACTGGCACACTGATGCACGGAAAGTGTGTGGAATGAAAAGGAGATGACTAAATATACATGGTAAGATCAGACAGCTAACCTTTTTCCTGGACAGTGAATCCAATGCCTGGAGCAAAAGCGAATTCCGTGCCGGGATCGACGATGACAATTTGACCTGGATATACGGCCACTTCGGAACTGACGCTGAAAAGTGGCAATTTTTAAATGCATGGCTCAATCTCTCCAGCTTGCAATTGTTTTTTTTTGAAAGCCAGATTATACGGGGCTTATCACGCTTTTGATCATCATCATAGAAACTCTAAAGCACGACCTGTTCGGCATTCCAAAATATACTGTGCGATTTTCAGGAAAGAGTAGGGAGAAGAGTCCGAAATTCAAGAAAAAATG